CTGCCCTGCATAAGCCGCCCGACATATCAATTCAGATTATAACCAAGATGTCAGCATTCCCTTTTCCAGCCAAAGTTAATTGCACGTTTGCAAACCAGCCTTTGCTCCTTGCCAGTCTTCAAAACATTCATTTGTTTCTCTGCATCCTTCGGAGGAAATCACACCGACAATTGGAGCCCTAACGGTGAGGCCTCGGCGGGCAACAACCGATGCATTATTTATATTTTGTGCCAAGGAAACAACAGGACGCTGATGTTTGCAGAAACATCCAACTGGGAATTAAAAAGTCCCAAGAGGAACCACCTGCTTTTCTTCGTTTGCTGGCTCAGGAGATGTTTAGATGGTCTTGTCAAGAAATAAAATGACTGTGCAGCCATGAGGAGCCCTGCATGCTTGTATGTCAAGTTACTAGCCCATAGAGTCCTCCTTCCTTCCTTCCTTCCTTCCTTCCTTCCTTCCTTCCTTCCTTCCTTCCTTCCTAATAGATTCCTTCCTTCCTCCCTCCCTCCCTTTCTTTCTTCCTTCCTTCCTTCCTACCTACCTACCTACCATCCATCCTTCCTTCCTTCCTTCCATCCTTCCTTCCCTCCCTCCCTCCATTCCATTTATCCATCCATCCTTGATTTTGCCTTCCTTCCTTCCCTCCCTCCTTCCCTTCCTGTTTCAACCTCTCATCAAACAAAATTTATAACATTGAAACGTGATGGTTAGATTCCCAGAGTCGGGTGGCATTTAAATTGATTAAATTAGTATTTCAGCTTTTCAACAGCTGCCCTGGGTTTCTGCTACATTCAGTCCACTCAATCCATTGCAAAGAAATCAGAAAGTTTTAACGGAGAAACGTCCTTACCGATTTTCTTTCCTGCTTGAGTTCTTGTACATAACGGGCTAACTCGGTGGTGATTTGGGAGGTCATGTTCTCTGAAATGACCTCGTGTTGACCGGCGTAATCGTTCATTTCGTTCAAAGTTGCCAGGAAAGCTTGACATGATGAATACCTAAAAGGAGCCAAAATAAAAACACTTTTTAAAAAAAACATCATATTCCTTTTTGATATGTTGGACCCATTCCATTATTCCTAGGCAGCATGTAGAACATAGAGAATCATAAAACTAGGAGGAACTTCAGTGGTCTTCTTGCCCAACCCCTTGACCCCTGTGAAATGACAGGGCTTCCCAAACATTTTCCTTCATTACCAGAATCAGAAAGTCTTATCAAGCTCCGAGGACCTTCCTTCAGCACTGCCGCTGAACAAAACAGCCATAACTCAAGGACTATCTGTATTATGAAGACAAGATTAGCAAATGACTTTCTCATTTCCCTGGGCTGAAAACCTACGTGTATTCATCCTCTTCTTTGGAGTTCTTTTTGGGCTGGTATTTCTTGGCGAGGTTCCTAAAAATAAAACCAGAAAGAGAGAGAGAGAGAAGGATTAAATAAATAAATAAATGCCAATAAATAGTTTAGCAAGCTTTTTTCTTCTTTAAACGGAAGATCATTTGTTTGGGTTGGTTTGCGTCCGTTTCAGATAAGACTTCATTCTCACGGCCCCCTTGTAGGAAAGCAAAACCATTTTGCAAACACAAAATAAGCCATTGCAAACTTCCAAAAAAATATTCTGGGCTCAAGCACGAACGTGAAGGCAAGGACAGCCTGAAGTCCTTGAATTGATGGGTAGAAGCAACTGAAAACCAAGATTAATTTCTCTACCCAGCCTCTCGGAAACACCTTCTTGGTCTTTTTCAAGGGATAACTTCATATTGTTCCCAAAAATAAAGAGAAATGGATTTCTCTCCGAGAGTGCAGCCTGCTAAATTTGGAACTTGGGTGAAGTTGATTCACCAATGAGGCAATCAATGTGTCCTAACGATGAAACATTTTACAAGGGGAGACTTCAATCAGACACCCAGGCCTGAAGTTAAGTCTTATTTCTGTATCGGCCATAAACTATGCTGAAAGTGGAATGGGTCAGGTTGGGGATAAAATGCATAAAACAAATGGCAAAACTAATGAAGCAAAATTTCTTCTCCGTTCCCATTCAGGAGTTACTTGCAGGAGACAGGATAAGTTGAAGGGCAAATAAACAAACAGGATTTTGTTTTTGTTTTTTTGAAAAAGTTTTATTATTATTTTTAGACAAACAAACAAACACAACATAAAAACATCAAGCCATCTTCCACATATGTACATACAGTGTGTCGGTTGGTTTACAAATTGTTTTGTGCATCCACTTCATAGTCATCACTTACAATTCCTTGTATATGTTCTCATATTATCTATCAAATATTCCTAAATACATTGATATCATTATTACTCAATCATTTGACTATGCTATCATTCATTCATGTTTTGCAAGATAATCCATATTTTAATTGATTTATTTTATGACAATTCATATTATCACCCCAAATCTATCCTATAATTATATTATGATTATGCTAAAAATAATACATCTTTATATATTCTTTATATTCTAAAAATCTACATATTTCATTACCATGTTTTATTGTCTAACCATTGATAAAATAACTCCCAAATCTTATAAACAGGATTTTGGATAGAAAATAATCAGCCCGCAGAAGGTTCTTTGAATTTTAAGGATTGCTGGGGGCCAAAATATCTAGAAAAAAAACATGTTTTGTCCAGTAAATCCTAAATCTGAAACTCAGAAATGGTTAACCAAAAAATTAAAACAAGCTTTGCCCAGTTTAGGTTGCTTTAAATCCACAAATCTCTGCCATTAAACATGGTTCAAAACTTACTTAGCCATACAGGTAGTTCTACAAGGATTACGCACTTCGGACTCACCTAAGCTGCTTTGCATAATTGATCTCAATTTCAGTCCGGTCTTTGACGAATTTGATATATTTTTCCAGAATGTCGATACCCCACTGGGTGTGTTTTTCGAGGGTGTCAAATTGATCCTGCAGAGGAAGACAGAATGACAAAGTTGGAAGGGACCTTTGAGGTCTTCTAGTCCCCCCCCAACCGCTCAGGAAAAAAAGAGACAGAGAAATATTTAATTGGCCACTCGGAACAAGCCTGAAGGAAGATTAATCACGCTATTCATCCTTTTCAAAGAAACATTTTTTTATTTTTTTAAAAAAAGTCTTCTTCTCGTGAAGTTATCAGACCTTAAACGATGAGTAATTTGGAAGGAAAAGCTTCTGTGGTTAGGTCTCACCTTTGTCATGTTCATTACAAAGGAATAAAACAGCAGCAGCTGAGAGGCATAACCTTTTGGCTCACCAATTTGTCCCCAGTAATCAGGCCGATGTTGTCAAGAAATGGGCAACTCTGAAGAAAAACTTATTGTCACTCAAATGCCAGGAAAAATATCTATGTGAATTTGCAGGCAAAATCTGCTTTACATAACACTAATTGGCCCCTAACCCCATGTTAATTATGTTAATTAAGCAGAAAGCTATGGCTATTCGGTACTTAAATATTGGTTCTAGTGGAATATTTCTCTAGGTTATAGACTGGGAGTTCTAGTCCTACCTTAAGCATGAAAGCTGGCTGGGTGGCTTTGGGCAAATCACCAGGAGACCATGAGTTCTAGTTTTGCCGTAGGCACAAAAACTGGCTGGGTGATTTGAGACCAATCACCAGGTGACAGTGAGTTCTAGTCCCGCCTTAGGCATGAAAGTCGACTGGGTGATTTTGAGCCAATCATCAGGAGACGGTGAGTTCTAGGTCACCCTAGCTAGGTTACCCAAGGTGCTTATTACTAATTGGTAATGATAATAACTTTGCTTTCTTTTGCCAGAGTCATCCTATTACGATCTGCAGATTTGTATTTTTTTTATTATTATAATAATTATTATATTTCCAGGTGTTGCTAAGAAAGATGCAGGAAAGGGATTTTATGGGTGATCTTTGCTTGCCTGACCTAAATTTTAGATTAAGATTTGCTACAGAATCTCTCTACCTTGAAGAACTCAAGAGGTTTTTTTTAATTAACTTCATTTGGTTGTTGTAAGTTAATTGCGCCGACCAAATGAAGTTAATTAAAAGTTAACTTTAATTCCTAAATAAGGCAGCCTTAGCTTTCTTTAAAAAATATAAAAGACGTTTTTCAGCACCCCAGTTTGAACTCTGTTTGGTTATTGTTCTTCATTCGGTGTATTCCAAATTCATTTTTAAAATTTTTCTGTGCTGTTTTGGCTTCTACTGAAGATAAAAACAGTGTTATTTACTTATAATACAAAACTAACTAACTAAGCAAAACCAATCAATTTTCAAAGAAAACAAGATGTCAAACCAGCACAATGGGACCAAAAGAAGAAGTAAAGCTAGTTCCTGTTTACAAATACACAACCCTGGAAACAAAGTTTTAAGATTTTAAAAAATAAACTTTCTTGCAAGGAGCTGGAACAGTTACAACTTTAAAGTTAATTTGAGTGATTTTTTTTCCTTTTGGTTACTAAGTTTCTGTTTAAGTAAGGAGGTGTTAGACAGAAAATGGAGGAGAAAAAAAAGGAATTAAGTAGAATATGTTCCCCACAGGAAAGTCCGCTACAGAGTTTAAAAAAAAAAAAAGATTATTTATTTATTTTTTAAAAATACAAATTACATGCATTGTCTTTATAAAGGTCGTTATCTGATGACACCTCTCTTCTTGAAATTGTGCAAATTTTGCTGATTTAATAAAGCTACAATACAGCTGAACCTCAACTTATGATTGCAATCAAGAGCCCAAAGTCACCCAGCTGGCTTTCATGCCTAAAGTTGTGACTAGAATTCACCATCTCCTGGTGATTGGCCCAAAGTCACCCAGCTGGCTTTCATGCCTAAGACAGGACCAGAACTCTCAGTCTCCTGGCGCAAGGTTACCCAACCAGCTTTCATGGCTAAGGCGGTACTAGATTTCCCAGTCTCCTGGTGATTGGCCCAAAGTCACCCAGCTGGCTTTCATGCCCAAGATACAACTAGAACTCACCATCTCCTGCTGAATACTCAGTTATCCATCTCGCTTTTATGCCTAAAGTGGGGCTAGAACTCCCAGTCTCCTGGTGATTCACTCGAAGTCACCTAGCCGGCTTTGATGCCTTAAGACAGGACTAGAACTCACCTTCTCCTGGTTTCTTCTGGTGCCCCCTCCACTTGACCAAACTGTCTCTCTTTCTAGATTTCCCCAGAACCCTTCAAACTCTTTTTGGGATAACTAGAGAAGCACCAGAAATGGTCATTTTCCAACAGAAGATTTGAAGAAAAGAATTTGGAAGCCATGTTAACCTACCCAGTCCTAAATGGACATTTCAACTTTCCGCTGTCAGGGTCAAAAGTTCAAAACTAGATGATGAGCAAGAGGAGGGCAAGAAAATTGGCTTTGATATTTTGGATATTCTGCATTTTGTCAAGTCACAGACAGGGCGATGAGCAAAGTGCTAATCAGCCAGACACAAGAGCCACCTCGTTAATCTTGCATAAGCTCCCAAAATGTTCTTCATGAAGCTAGAAAAGGCCTTTGGAAATGAGCAACTTTAAGTCTTAAAAAGAGACAAATATAATTATCTCTGTTAAAAGGTGGGCTCTTCTATATCAACCCTAGAGTTCAGAGGAAGAAATTTATTAC